TTGACCCAAAGAGGAATTTTCCATTAATGTGTCCTAGACTGAAGAAGTAGGGACGAAAAAATCCGGGTTCATCATAAAGACGAACCCCCTTAACCGATGTTTACCAAACCCCTCTGAAACGAAGACTTTAGTAATCTTCATGAAACGGGTTAGATCTAATACTCCTGTTTGCCTTACACTAGGCCGATTCAATTCCTCCTTTGAAGTGCGGAGCGCTGTAATTTGTGCACTTTTCCGTCTACTTACAGGTGATCTACTCCCAGCTGATGGAGTGATTATACAGAGTAACGACTTGAAAGTGGATGAAAGTTCACTAACCGGCGAACCGGACCATGTGAAAAAGGGCGAGTTGTTGGATCCTATGCTTCTTTCGGGTAAGCCATTTCTTCTCAATATAGTTCATCATTTGCAGCTTGAATGAACGATAAAAGTATCACAAATCCCAGATGCGCGGTAAAGCCAAAGACGTACTAGCCACCGGTACGATTACAGAAAGTTGTAAATCGGATTTGGATTGTACAAATCAATGTGGCTTCGAAAGAACACGACAGGCTGAAAATAAATCCACTTTCCTAAAAAAAGCAAAACAAACATCCCTCTAAAAATGTTTATTCAAATGATCATGCTGTTAGATAGCGTGATATGCACTGCATCAGTGAAGGTTCCATGACCTACGTACATCTTATTGAGTAGGCTGTACGTGAGCCTTGTACTGACGACATTATTCACTAAGGGAAAAGTCGAAAAAACTCGTTCAGCTTTAGCACCCTATCGGTGTTCAACTGCCATGCCACCCAATGGCTGCATGAGGGCTGGGATACTGCCAGACTGCCCAAGCCTAAACAGGAGAAGTCGAGAGGCAGAGGTCGGATTCGAACCACGGACCTTCCGGTCAGTAAATTCGCGCTCTATCTACATGATAAAACAGTTATCAAATGGCGTTCAGTTTACTTTGGTTTGGTTTAAAAAACTTTTTTGCGGTATCACATTCGTGTATTTTGTCCGTGTTGGTGACCCTGGATAAAACTACGCCTACTTGAGGACAGTTCGTTCGTCATACCACATTATTTTCTCTCTACATGATGAGGTTTACCGAATCGTATACATAACTTTCCACTTCCTTTAAGGCTAACACTCTCTGCCTCATTTTTGACAACTCTGCTGTGGAACATACTTATAAAACTCGTTTGCGTGTCTCAGCGCTACATTGGAGTGGCTAATTTTAGGTGTGATATGCAACACATCTACTGTTGTTGTCTTCAAAAAAATTTTTTCAGGGCTGCATTAACATAAGTTGGCCAGTGCTCATTAGTAAAGCAGAGAGTCCTCACTGATCTGTCAAACCATTTTCAATAAGAGCTTCCTAATTATCATTGGAATCAGCATCATCACCATCCCAGACCGCACTCAGAGCATGCCCATTTATTTAACCGAAGCTTTATGTCCATGAGCTCTGGAACAAAGCTCACCTAGATGATGAACGAATTCAAAGTTGTGGCAGATTGTTAGCGCATGGAAACGGAACTCACAGAGGATGAATTAAATTTTAACTACTTTGCGTAAGAAACATAGTACCTGGGCTAATACTCTGCAGTCACCCTCAGTTTCAGTGCTTTTAGAGCAAACAACTAAATGCCATTCAATGTGATTTTTTACTGCTTTTGATCTCATACTGTGATCGAAGCACCGTGTCATCATCATCATCATCATCATCGACAGCATGACATCAGTGTTCAACACCGATGCTTCACTGCCGTAAAGCACCGTGTTGTGTGTAGCCAAATGATAGTTCGGTCTGCATTTGAACTTTTTCTCAGCAAACAAGACGCATACCATCACCTTTGTCTTCGCGTTCATTCAGCCTAAAAGAGAGTCATTCAGCTGAATCTGCGGGTTACGTTCCGGGAGAGGTTTTTTGGGTTATTGCTTTTTTTGTGAAAAAGCAACTGACACACTACTGAAACCACTCTTCAAGCAACTCCATCTGACATGCTTGACTGGAACTTGGTCTTCGAAGAAAAAAAGCAAATGTTTCAGTTGAAAAATATCATGAACAAGTGATTTGACTAGAAATTCACTTGAGTTCCCCGATACCACCAATATACTTAAAAATTAGACTCACTTTGCCAGTTTTGTAAAATTCAGTATCCAAGTGAATAATAAAATTGATAGGAGTCGGAAAGGTTTTGCCTATTTGATGGGCTCTAATTGGAGCGAATCACTTCGTAGGCTGCCAAAGAGTTTTCAACAACCTTGTGGGGTTCATTCTCTATCCAGTAAATGGCTTGTTCCTCAATCCGGAATTTTCGTAGTTTTGGTTATCGGCGAAATCCAAACAGCGTGCTTGTGATATTTTGTTGGGACACCAAAAAACGAGTCTGATCAAATCGCAATTGTTCACTTTTTTCGCAGCTTATAAGCTTGTAAAAACGAACCAGGTGGTGTTTTATGGGACATGCTTCAGCCATCCTTTCGAATGGATAAGTAGTAGTTAGTGTTACAAACACTGGCTGTTTTAAGATGTTCGTAAGTTAGGTGAGAGGAAAAGTGTAGATTTCGGACATAGCAAAAGTCATCATCACCAATACTTCTTTGGCTTGAAAAAGTTATCAGTTGCACTGAAACACTATTTTTATCATCAAGGTAATAGTGGAGATCCCAAATCGACAAATTTACCAGTATTCAGCTGCGCCACAGAACGATGATCACTATGCGGACTGCGAGGCAATTCAAATGACGTTAATCAGGTGAGATAGAAAGCGACAGTAGTATCGAGGGTTCGTTTTTCTCTCCTATTGTGTGCATTTAGAAGAACAACTCAACCGATGTCATCACGTGGTGGCTGATTTGCCATAGGATTAACTCTGCTGTCGTAAGTTATGTTTGTTCGGTATCTAGGATACTACCGGGATAACAGCATTAAACCTCTGAGTGATTTATATGCTCCACAATGTCTTGAGACTCAAATGCACAGACTTCATAGAACGCTGATGTGGTTATCATTATTAGATTAATCCAACTCTTGAAGGGGAATTCTTCACATACATATGATTTTAGCCTATATGCCATAAGACCCTGTCTGTCTCCATATGTGAAAAGCGTCGGGTGGAAAATTTGTTTGGATGATAGACATTTAGTAATATAGCTGGTAGACTACTGGTAGACTACCGTCATAATGTACCAGGGCACTTCTCACCATAGCATCATTTGGTGCTGCCAGTATCGATTCAGCTGTTGCACAGTTACGGTGCACCGGCGCCATGTGACATGACAACGATGCAAAGTCCACGATGGAGGCAAACTGCCCATGTCTAGACGCTGGCTTTGAAAATTTTTATTTTCTTAAATAAATGATAAACACTTGGACAAGCGTGTTGACGATCACTTTTGTATTTTTAATTTAACTTTTAAACCTGAATCTCGATGATAAATATCAACCGTTTTCGCCGACAATAAAACCAGTTCTTTAATTCCAGTTTATACATTCTTTGAAAGTAAATTTTTTAAGTAGTAAAACCGCGTTATATAAGTAACATGATTCTAGGAATCAGAAATAATAAGTGTTTCGGAAAATTTATCAATGAAATTCTCAATTCGGGCTCGAATTAACCGTACAACAGCTTTGAGATATACCAGCTAATGTCAGGATCAGGAGATGGCAGATTAAGAAGCATTTTCCGAAAGTGTTTCTCAAGTTTGAATGTGTAAGTGTTGTGATATGTCAGTAGTCCGCAATGTATGCTGCTAAGCCTCTGATTTATGCAAAGTCGACAAATTGTGAATGTTGAACTATGCCATTTCTTCGTCGCTTTAAAACTCCGGTGGTTGAAAATTCTTCTCGACTGGGCTTTGTTTTTCAATAATAATTGTTCACAACATCACATGTATACACATCACATTTCAACACTATATACAACATTTGATAAACAAAAAACAGAAATATGTCGTTTATCAGTTGGTTACCAGAAGGTAAGACCGATGACAACTGATCTATAGCAATTCAGCTGTGAAGTGATAGTAGCTCAATTTTGTTTTTAATCCCTTCTACCTGCAATTTTTAAAGCGTCTGTTTGCCTTGAAAAGATAGTGCCGATCAACCGGCTATGTGATACTCGACCTGAAGGCATTTACCCAATTCAACTAAGGAATGTTTTTAACCCTATTTTCCTTCCGCACACGCATAACAATTTTTGAAGTAGAAAGTTCTCCATTTGTCCTCCACGCAAACATCAGAGTTTGCACGGAAAATGTCTGCATTTGCTTCGTTCGACGGCTGTCCTTAGTTTGCTTCAGTATGGATTCAGTTAGTTTGACAGAATCGTGATTGTATCGATTGTGGCTTTCAACATGAATGAATGCTTGGTGAAAATCTGAAGTGTCATCCAGCTGAAGGCTTGGTAAGTGTTGGTGCTGAGAGACTAAAGCCAATAATCTCATGATTTGTCGTCGGACTAACCAAAATCTGAAACATCAACAAACTACATCAACAAGCAACGAGAACCACGGATGAAGAGGGAAGATTTCCCGTAAACCTTGGAAGTGTTGTGCACAGATTAAAGTTGCTCCAAGGCCGCTGTTTGGTCTTAGGTGTTAACTGGGGAAATTTTCCTTCAACTCTACGAAACAGTACTACTAAAGATGGAGCGATTTCACTTTTGAAAGTAGTAATAACGAGAACATGTAAACAAGGTGCAAATGCACGATTTTTCAAAATGGCTTTTTGGCTCTTTGTCTGGCAGTTGAGAGACGAAACGATAGCTGATCCAAATGACAAGCAGTAATTTCACTGTATGGACGTTCAATTGAGGACAATGTCAGTATACATGGTTGTTCTCTTTGCTCAGCCTGGCATCAACCTAAGTGGCACCATCAGTGCCTGGTAGGTAAGCGGTGCGTTGGGTTGTAGGTATATATCCTTTTTCAAAGTGTGCAAACCAAAATCGCGCGATGCAAAACTGACACTATTCACTAAATTCCATTCGAATATATTTATGTGTTATTTCTGACGGCAGTCAACCTTGCAACTTTATTGTATGTTGTTTTGAATTTTCGGGTTCACTTTTGGAATGATCCCGCGCAAATACTTCGTAATAAATAGTAGACGTGTCACATAGTTTTACAAGGTGGAATATTCATATTGCTAGAGTTAGCGACCCAGTCAGTTGATGCATACTTGGAAATGTCATAACCATATTCCACCCACGGTGAAGAACTTACGTCAAGTCATTCCAGCTGTATTTTTATATTAAACATCTGAGTTGTTAGTCACGACAAGGGCAATAAAACCTTATAAAACTCGGGGAATCCAGGTGGTTGTGTAAATAGTTCATATCCAAGAACTTGTTTCTACTTCTCGTGTTAAAGGCAACATAAAACCAAGATATCGTTGCTCACTTTCCTGTGCAACTTTAATTGAGTACATACAATACGGCAGTGAGAAAGTTATGCCACCCAACATCTTACAGTCTTCAACAGCTGAACGTTCTGCTTCACCCATAAATGATCCACCAGGGGCTGAGAAGCCATTTCCGCGGTGCCTATTGAAAATATCTGTAGGGATGGGTTTCACAATAACTCAGACAATTTTAAAGTGTATATCCGAACGGGTAAGATTTTCTAAAACTGAGAAAAACAATACAGCATCCACGCATCATGCCGAAAAATTCATCGGTCGGTAGTCTAAATCATTCATGTATTGACATTACTTTTACCTGCTTGGTTTCATACTGTCCTACGTTTAGTTTTGTGTCCGTTGAGCTGTTCCTGCTCTCGGTACCCGAAGATTTATCGACGTTAAATCAATCCTACATTCAAGCGCTTGTCAAATTTTCGCGCCTTGCGTGCACACGGCACGCACAACGTTAGGAACATCAACATCACAAAACATTTGGGTTATTTGTTCAACATAGTCCATGTACCCACAAATTACCAACATTCCTGTGCGCAGCAGGCCATCCGAAATCATTTTTTCTGTTTTTCCAGTACTCTCGTGTGTCGCACGGTTTATTTACATTGAGAATTTTCTCCCTGTCTACCGAGATGGGTGTACACTGGAAGAAGCTTATTGTATTTGGGTTGGTATTTTTGGAAACAGTTAGCGCCAAAATCCGATTCCAAACCTTTCTTTGTTAGTTAAACATCTTTGCCAACGTATCTGTTTTTTTGGTTACTGATTTATGCCTAGAATAGCCCTCCTATATGTATGACCGGTGCATATAAGTGAATTGCAGTGAACGCGAACTGTGTAGTGGCAAATGGGTCATACTACTTGAGACACTTGGGTGAAGGGTTTTGGGCTAATTGACATAAACTACCGAGCAGCGGTTGATTTTGTGTAATGACGAACGTCATTGGAAGGGAAATCATTTCAAAATCAAATCAAAATTGTATCATCCTAAGTTAGGCGATGGAATTCACTCATTATCATGAGAATGACATACATTACGGTGGCTTATCCAGAAGCATTCTCGGGTAATATGCGCTGATCAATAACGCACTGGAAAACGCATAAAGGCTGAATAAATTTAGCGTTGTCAACGACAAGGTTTCATATTCACGTTTGTTTTACGCCTTTACTTCAACCTGATAATTGTAAGAATAACAAGCAACGCGGACTTCCTGTGGATCACAATCCACAAGAAGAGATCAGTCCCACGGGAAACGAGGACGCCATAATTTATTCTTAACTAACTGCAAGAATGGGGTCTAGGAAAAACAGATGATTCTATGTCCCTGTTTATTTTTTCCTCAGGCGGATTAACGCGCTTACTATAAGCTGCTCTGTGTTGGGCACAGTGCTAGCTCAAGTCCATTGTCTTAATAGCATCCACCTGAAAACTAACGGGTGAGAGCTGACTGCCTACAAATGAAAATGTGCCCACTAAGTTTCAATATTCAGAAATACCTCTAAATAATCAGCACGTCTCTGTATTATTATGGATGCCAGACAAGTTTTCAAAATGCATCTCCATTTTGCGTCCAGCGCTACCAATCTTTGATTGTTTTGAAATGGAGAATTGGAACAAAGCGCTGTGAAATAGTCCGTCTACCATACGTGTAGCTGTACGTTGACATAACATTTTGAACTTCGATTTGTACAAAAAATCGAAGTAATACGATGTTATTTTCACCTAGAAAACATCTGTTTGATACTGATAATACAATCCACTTGAATTCCTATCAGTCAGATGTTCAACTTATTTAGCTCGGGTATATCACTAGCTACCACCACCCGCATTCTTTGAAGCAACAGCAAACCCTACCACCAAACATTCTAAATTCACCAACGCCCACGTTCTTGGAGCATTGTTTTTATCCTCACTAACCATGAGTAAAAAGCGTTATTGCGGAGTAGTTTTTGAATTTAAACAGAAGGGTAGTGTAGACGCCCAGGTAAATAGCTTTAAGCGGTTTGTGTGGTCAAGCCAACGCTAGGCCACCAGAAAGCAGGTTGGGCAATCAAAAGTTGGTTGAAACTTGTTTGGAAAGCTCAGAGGTTGATTATCATTGTGTTGCTAGTGTTTTTTAAGCGAATAAGGGATGAATAAACCGAATATCAACCAGCGTCCTTTGTTTTTTCGATTCCAATGCTTTAAGCGGTTTGTGTGGTCAAGCCAACGCTAGGCCACCAGAAAGCAGGTTGGGCAATCAAAAGTTGGTTGAAACTTGTTTGGAAAGCTCAGAGGTTGATTATCATTGTGTTGCTAGTGTTTTTTAAGCGAATAAGGGATGAATAAACCGAATATCAACCAGCGTCCTTTGTTTTTTATATCGATTCCAATTGACTTTGGATAGACTTTCAATTTTCGAACGCATTCTGTCATTGCGCAAGCCATGCAAGGTTGATATGTAGACGGTGGGTTTCAGCCCACCTGCTACAAGCATAAATTGTCCCACTTTGAAATCTTTTGGATTTTTGGTCTGAAAAAATAAGTTTGATTGTTTTGCGGAGATTTTTCTTTTTTCTGGAGAACATAATTTCTCCATCTGTTTCAGACATAAAACGTTCCCTTCAAGACGAAACTAAAATCACAGTTGTACGTAGCCAACTGGTAGACTTGTTTTCAGCGCTTAGATCGATAAAAATATTCAGCCGGAAAACGCTGCTTCACAGCTGGTCATGTGGATTTGATGGCATGTAGTTTAACAGCGAACTTTCCTGTAATTTGAACATGGGGTTCTGCTAAACATGAAGAGTTTCCATCAAAGTGATAAAAATCTCTTTTCACCAACATGTATACACCCATACGAATTCCTATACCACGAGGAATAAAATAGTAAAATAATGTTAACTTTGGTGGATGTAATCTGACAAAAATCGGACGTCAGATAGAAGTTCCTGATAAAAACTGGACCCAGGGCTTAAAAAAGATTTTTCGGTAAAATAAAAAAGAGATACTCCAAATAAAAAGCAAACTACACAAGCTATCATAGTGAACATGCAACAACACTTGATCAACAGTTGGTGAAATTTAGAGCCAATTGACACAACAAGCTGCTCTTGAACATACACTAGACTCGCTTGGCATTGATATATGCTGTCTTAGAAACGAGAATTCAAGATGCAAGCACAGTGTTTGAGTTAACCGCTCCGTCAGTCTTCACTCGCTTCCGGCTACGCACCTCTGGTGATCCAGAGGCTGCTGCGGTGGGATGTGCAGGGGTTGGTATTGTGCTAAGTCACCGGGCGGAAGTATCCTTACTTGAGTGGATACCTGTTGATAGTCGCCTCTGTGCGGTTCGCCTGGGAACGTCTGTGAAGGAGTCTCACAAGCGGCAAGTTGATAGGTGTCTGTTTATCATGTCTGCATATGCCCCAGCTGGTGGTAGCTCTGAAACCGTCAAATACAGGTTTTACGATGCCCTGAATGCTCTGCTGCGGCGAGCTGAAAGCTCAGACATTGTGGTGGTTGCCGGAGATATGAATTCGCAAGTGGGCAGGCTCAGTGTATCTGAGACTCTATTGGGAGGTCGACATGGACTGGACTCGGTACGTACGGACAATGGGGAACGATTGCTTCAGCTGTGTGC